TGCTTCATGAGTCATCTGAAACTCTGGTGATGGGTCTGTCGTTCAATATAGCTTCAACTTCACAGAAGACTGTTTGGAGTCTTTCATCACCCAAAGCTTGTTCTTTGAGAACTGAGACTAAAGTACTCCTTATGGAACGAATGAAACGCTCCCACACAATCCTTTGCCAATATTATTGAGAATAGCTCCAACAACCCCCGGCTTCTTTTCTCAGTAACTGACTCGGCCCTGAATTTTCCCCTGCTTCTCATATAAATAGCTGCACAGAAACGTGTGAAAGATTTTTTTCAGTTTTTCGTTAATAAGATAGAACAACTCTGATGTATGACCGCCCTACCTTCACATGAAGTTTTTACAAAATTCACCTGCTCTACTGCCTTTGACCAGTTTAAACCTGTGTGTTTTAATCAGGTAGAAGAACTTTGTAATGGTATAAAGACATCATCTGGCCCAAAAAATGCCATGCCAACACATTTCTTGAAAAAGATTTTTAAGGTTGTTGGTTCTGACATTTTAGAGATTTGTAATAGCAGTCAGTTTTATGTCATTAACATGTTTTGGGATTAAAATCAGAGAATAAATGTTGGAAACTTCCTGTCTTTCTGGCCAACAGTGGCTGCAGCCTGCAGCCTTTCCAGACACATTATAAAGACTTCTAAATAAACTATGAATCCCATGAAGTGCAGAAAGCTTCAGTAGAATCTGGTTTTATTTATTTGCTCTGGGGTTATCTTGGCACTGAAGCAGCACACAACACAAAGAAGAGACTGCAAATTTTACATGAGCACAAACTTTACATCAAATTTGAAATTCAAATCATTTGTATTTTACTAAGACATGTGGGACTGATTTGCCTAACTCATCGTGACCTGACTCTCCTCTGTCCTCCATTTTGAGTCCCTGACTAGTTGTAGTCATAAGTAGTTTATTTGACTTAAGTTCCTTTAACAGCAAAAGCAGAATAAACACTTGTTTTCTATTCAGCTTTATTCATATACAGCAGTTTTCTCTTCAGTTTTTGAAGCACTTTAATCCTTGCTGTTTAAAAGTTGAGGAAATAATGAGCAAAAGATAATTTCAAATATAACAACACCCAACCTGAGGACAGATTGTGTTACCAAACTACACCCTCCACTTTGACAAAGTTAGTGCTACTGTCAGTTAAGGGAATTTTTTTTTGAACTTGTGGCTTCTGGCCTGCTGCAGTGGTGAGGTGGTGCAGGGAGCTCAGGGGGCCGTGTCAACAGAGGGGCACAGGTGTTCATGTTCAATTCAGTTTTATTTATACTGTGTCAAATCACAACAGCATTTGCCTTATATTGTAAGGTAGACCCTACAATAATACATACAAAGAAAAACCCAACAATCATACGTCCCATATAGCAAGCACTTTGGGAGAAGTGGGAAGGGAAAAAAGAAAACCTCAGGCAGAACCAGACTCAGAGAGGGGCGGCCATCTTCAGCGACCGGTTGTGGTAAGAGAATGAAGACATGATAAAAGACATGCTGTGGAAGAGAACCAGAGATTAATAATAAGTATGATTCAATGCAGAGAGGTCTATTAACACATAGTGAGTGAGGAAGGTGACTGAAGAAGAAATACTCAATACATCACGGGAATCCCCAGCAGCCTACAACTATTGTAGCATAACTAGCTAAAGGTCACTCTGAGACAGGATATTTCTACTTTTAGAGATATTGCTCAAATGGAAGGAAGCAGTCCTACATATTTGTTTAATAGGAGCGTACATTGAGGGACATATCCTGGTCAAAAATGAGTCCAAGGTTCCTCACAGTGGTGAGATTCTGTAGACCTTTACTCTGTTCAGGGATGAACACAGGTGGTGACTTAAAACACCACCTATCACCGACAGTGCAGTCCTACCCGGCTGTTTCAACCTCTAACCCCAAAAACTCAGTAGGGTGGGGTGATGTCTTAGTAAGGTTTTACCTCTTGGACCCAGTGAATTTTTCCATACCTTGGTTGGAACTCACATCATCATTTTATCTTCACTCTGGTTCACGTCTGGATGCTGGAATGTCAAACTATATCCAACAACATTTTCAGAGTGGCCCTGGCAGAGTGATGTGGCAGATTCAGCTGTGATCTTTTGTGGGAAAAAGTTCCAAGCATCTTGCCCTGGATCATGATTTTTCCAGTTAGGCTGAAGAGGGGGATTGTTCAGCACCAATAAGCCGCTCAGCCAGCGGCACTTCTGGGTAAAGTGATTGAAGCTATGAGTTTCACCTTCCTGTCTGTGGAACCCCTGCCATTGAGAAATTATTCAAGTTTACATGGCTACTAACAACATTCAGTCCAAAAAAACCCAATGTCCTGTTTAAGTTACTGTTTCTTATTAAACACACAATTTAACATCTTGTGATTGATTGCTGTCCCACAAATGCACAGTGTGTGTATATACAATGTGTGTAATGTTGTATCTGTAACTCCAACAAACCTGAGCAGCAGTGCCTTTGAAACTGTAGTAAACAGCAAGCTGAAGGTTCTGAATGGTTAACTTTGTGTATTCATGAACCTGAAACAAATAATGAAACCTGTCATTGATCTTTATCACAGAAGCTTCAGGCTACATCCACACGTACACAGGTATTTTTGAAAACTGAAGGAAAATGAAGGAAAACACTGCCAGGAACGTGCCAAAACAACAGGTGGTGATATATTCCTAACTGTGTAGAAATTTTGGCCAATCGAAGTCTAGAAGCCTCGGTGGGAAAGAGTAAACAAAGATGGCGCATAGAAGCAGAACTGAGTCCTATGTGTGGAGGGACAGTAACTTTGTGTGTATATTTATTATATATTTGTGTGTATAAGTAAGCATTTAAACACAGCAAAATTAACAATAAGAGTATTTTGTGTAAGTCCGCCATTGTAGAAATTCTTTTCACCGAAACAATAACATGGCGCACAGTGTGATGTCAAAAAAGTCGCACATCTTTGATGCAGCATTTTCTCAGTTTTCATCCACATGTAAAAGCAAAAATTGATTTTCCCAAAAAAATAAGTTTTTAAAAATCTCCATTTTCAGTGACTGAAAACGCCGTTTACATGTGGACGAAAGGTGCAAACGCATAGAAAAATCTGTGTTTTCCAATATACCCATGTACTTATGGACTTAGCTTTAGTGATCATGTTTAACACATCCAAAACACATTAGTACCTTCTGAGATGCTTCAGTGCTGTCCACATTAAGCTTAAATACTGACTCTATCTCTTTCTTCTTCTTCTCTATTCCCTTTGCCCCAGATTGAAAGTTGCGCTATAATCATCAGAGGGAATGAAAATATTTTTTATACAAGAAAAAAAGTTCACACTACACTCTGATCTCACCTCGTTAGACTGTATAATGTACCAGAATCCCAGCTTTGATTTGCTCTGGGTCGCTCTGAGCAACCTGCTTCATTTTAGGCTTCATTTTAGTCCAGTCCATCCTCAGCTCTTTATACATCTCTTTCAGTCTGGTTTCATTCACTGGGTTGTTCATGTTTTCAGAGTCCCCCGTCTTTAGTTTAAGATCAACCTCCCCTGCCATTCTGATGATAATAATAGATAATGTTGAACATGAAAAAAAGGTGGTGATGTCTGCACCATCATACACAGCACTGTTTTTGTACATTACCTGTCTTTGAACGATTTGAATTCTTCTTCACTTTCTTTACGTGCAGATCTGTGGAATAGTGATTGGTACAAATAAGTGATTTGTTTCTGTGCTCCACAGTTCACATGACTATAGATATTTTTTGTTTCGTGAGTGATTTCAATTTTCTTTATTATCTGAAAAAATTGTAAATTAATAATTTGTCATGACCTTCGGAGTTAGTATTCTTATTTTTAGTTGAATCTAAAAATAATAATACATCCACCAAACTAATTCTGTGTTCACAAGCACACAGCCACACCAACAGAGGATTTCCTTAAAAATGAAAACTGTAAAAAATCACATTTAAAGACAACAAGTAGTCATTTAATTAAAAGTTATGAACATGAATACCTTGATATAAATATCATTGCTGTGTTTGACACATTGGCGTGCTCTAACATTAAGGTATAAAATATTTCTGTAATTTCTGCAAAATGTAAACAGCTAATACCTAAAAAGTCTGCAATCTGCACATTTATTATTGCATGTCAGTTTCTAAATTACATATATTTTTTATCTTGAGTACAGGGTAGAAAAAGGAAAAAAATGTATCTCTG